AATGTTTAAATTTAACACAACTTGATAAATTAACCAAAATTATTATACATAATATGACAAAAAGTCATCCGTCTATATTTTTGAGACACATCTGATCTGGCCTGGGAGCGCGCGTGGGGCGCGCATGCAATTGAACAAGTAAATTAACTTACTGTAACGCGCGGAGACATTTTCGTGCAATTTCAAACGAAGTCATTTCATTTTTGAGTGAACTTTTTTTAAAACGATGGCGGATATGAGCCATGGCTCATGTCCGCCATCGTTTTTTTTTGCGATTCAATATTAAAATGGAAAATTTAATTTGACGTCGGTTTTTTTTCCGAGTCAATTAAAAAACGATGGCGGACATGAGCCATGACATTCCGATTCAATATTAAAATGGAAAATGATTTGACGTCGGTTTTTTTTAAATCGAAAAAAAAAACGATGGCGGATATGAGCCATGACATTCCGATTCAATATTAAAATGGAAAATGATTTGACGTCGGTTTTTTTAAATCGAAAAAAACGATGGCGGATATGAGCCATGACATTCCGATTCAATATTAAAATGGAAAATGATTTGACGTCGGTTTTTTTTAAATCGAAAAAAAAACGATGGCGGATATGAGCCATGGCTCATGTCCGCCATCGTTTTTTTTCCGATTCAATGTTTTTCGAATCGAAAAAAAAACCGATGGCGGGCATGAGCCATGGCTCATGTCCGCCATCGTTTTTTTTTCCGATTCAATGTTTTTCGAATCGAAAAAAAAACGATGGCGGGCATGAGCCACCATAGTGGAGGACATGAAAACATAGAGCAGCTTCAATGTTTAAAAGTGGACAACACAATTTCATGGCCATCGAAAGAACTTGAACTAAGAATGGATGGGATACCACGGAAATCACGAAAGAGAAAAAGTGATTCAGTGAAGATGAAGCGTGACGCTAATCGGCAAAAGAAACGAATGAAAATGAAAAGCAAAGAAATAAAAACATGCAGTTGTGTAGCCAAATGTTATGAAAAGATAGATCAAGAGTTACAAATACGCCTCAGGGAATATCATTATGAACTATCAGAGAATACAGCAGCCGGCGATAACTTCTTATCGAAATATATAAATAGAAGAACAAAGAAGTTGCATAGAATAGCAGCTGGTGACAAGCGGAAGTTCACCTTGATATATAAACTCCCAACAACATCTGAACTTCCAACAACATCGGAAGATAACACAGCTGTGGTGTGTAAGGTGATGTTCTTAGAAACATTCGGCATCACTGCCAAAAAATCAAGAATCATAGTTTTTAAAAAATATGATAGAAACAGTTCTCTTTCCCACGGATTGGTTGGGAAACCCTCCAATCGCGGGACGGTTCCTGCAGTATTGAGAGCGGCAATTGAAGATCACCTGAATACCTTGCCAACTGTACCTTCACATTACCGAAGAATGTACTCTCATAAGAGGTATTTCGAGGCATCGCTAACGCTAGCCAAGCTGTTTAAACTGTTTAAAGAAAAGCATCCTGGCGTGAAAATAGGTCTAACTAGCTACAGTAACATACTTAATTCATTGAACATTGGTTTTTATAAACCTAAGAATGATCAATGCGACCAGTGTACTTCCTACAAGAATAGCTCGAAAGAAGAAATTGATCTACTACTGTACATCGAACACATTGAGAGGAAAGACATGTGTAGAAATTGTAAGGATGCTGACAAAATCAAGGCAAAGGCATGCGACAATTTCGGAGCCTACACCATCGATATGGAAGCTGTAAATTCGTGTCCAAAGGCCGCGTCAGGTGAGTTTTACTATATCACCAAGCTTGCTTGTTATAACTTATCATGTTATAACCTTGGGACTGATGAGAAGACTTGCTTCATGTGGGATCAGACACAAGCAAACCGTGGTCCAGATGAAATCGGATCGTGTCTCCTATACATTCTGAGAAATCTGCCTGAGAACATTACGGATGTCGTCATTTGGGCAGATTCATGCGGTGGTCAAAACCGCAATAAGGAAAATGCAGCAGCAATACTGCACTTCCTTAATGTGGAAGTATCCAACACAGCGCTCCATGTGAAGACTGTGCACCTGAAGTACTTTGAACGTGGACATAACGAATCTGAAGTTGATACCATACATCACATGATAGAAGCAAGTAAGAAGAACCAAGAAATATATTTACCGGACCGGTATAAGGAGATAGCAAGATCTGCCAGCACAAAAAACCCTATAAAGGTTTTTTCACTGGCATCATATGAGTATCCAGTATATGACGTCCACGCCCTTTGCAAGTCCACCATCATTAACCGCAATCGATACCGGTTTATTGATCATGAGGGCAAACCGAAGGTTAACGAAGCGTCATGGCTAAGTGCAAAGCGGCTCTCGTTTGCAAAAGGCAGTCGGGCAATGACTATCAGCACATTACCCGACCCGGAGAGAACAGATGATGATAAAGTCATTCTCACCGACAGAAAGGTAGGTTGTGTCATTTAGTTATGTATGGTTATTATGGCGCGTGATAATATATCAATGAACTTTTTACAAAGCTATACTCGCACTAATGATCATGACATCTTGGCAGTACCTGTACATTTATTCTATTGCAGGTATACGTAAGCAGCCGTGCTTCAGTAAGATCGGAGGTGGTGGATAAACCTCAACTCACAATCCTCTGCGACGATTCGACAGAGATACCTGTTTCCGAGAGGGTTATGCTTGGTCTTATTGATCTATGTGAGAAGAGGCTGATACCACAGGGGTATCATGCATTCTACAAGAGTATCACTACTATAGAAAGTGACAAGAGCGATACTGACTAAAACACATTCCATATTTCTACATTTGCAGCATTTTTATTTTACTATTTTCAATTTCATGGGACAATTATTTTATGCAATATTCATCTTAGGATGAATGTAGACACAAATTACACTTATTGAAATATTATACACCTTTTAAATTATTGGAATATTAATACAATTTAATTCTATTCATCTATTTATACTAATAATGGGATTTAAATAAATCGTGTTCACTGGTTATTGAAAATACAGCAACCTGTTATGAAATCAATAATGTGGCAAACTGAAATTAAACATAGACCATTTAAACCCATTACGGATGCATAAAATGCCTACTTCAAACGATATTAATCTACATGAGCCTCTATTCCAAGTGTTTGTCAGGAATAAACTTGAAAAGTTAAAAGGACTTATGTACACATAAGCCCTGTACCGATTCTCACATGTAAGATATTTCAATCAATTAAAAGGGCCTATGTATTGAATATTTTTTTAAAAGGGCCTATGTCAAACTTAAATCAATTATACCAATTAGTCAAAAAGAGCCAAGAACATTTTTATATTGTAGAACAGTCAATCTTTCCATTTAAGATGCATAGAAATCAAATTCAAATGCTTATCCTAGATCAAATTTCGAGAAATCGGTTTTTATGCATTATCTCAAAACAACTTTTTTTGACATAGGCCCTTTCTATATATAGGTGACGATATATACAACGGCAGTGCGGAAAAAGGGAGACAGAAACCCTAGAAGCTGCCACCCTTCTGCCCTATTTTATTTTACTCACTTTTAGTATGTTGGAGTTTTATATCTTGAAACAATTTAATTTTAATATTTAAACATTGTTCGGTATACAGAGAATTTTAGACAGTCCTGGTTGAGAATTTAGACACAAAGTTATTTTACTTCGAAGTATCCCCTTTCAAGAGTGAGAGTGCGGAAACGAAAACACATTAAATCCCCCTCAAGTCTATAGGGAAGTTAAAGACTTGGCCAACCCAGCTACAGGGAGTGTCACATATCTTCTTGACAGCAGATATATACAAGCATTCCTTGTAAAGATATAAAGATAAGTATATAATAAAGATTCCAACATACTTTATTTAAGGTTGGACAGAAATGTGATGTAGTATTTGACACCAGCGGAGAGTACAACAAACTTCTCGTGATTAATCTTATCGTAAGTTAGTTCTCATCGACACAGGGAATGAAGAAAAATTACCGGTTGGGGTTTTTGTGGAGCGACGGTATATGGTTCTTAATTGACCATTAAACAACTTATCGAGCTTAAAAAGATATGTGTCAGGGACACGTCAGACTCCAAACTTATTCTTCACATGAAATTTAATCAGGTTAAATTGTGCTGATACTTGCAAAACCGCTATACTCTAACTTCTAAGTGTTTAATATTCCGCTGCACTCCAGTACAGTTTATCACTATTATTCATAGTTTTAATATTCGTTTATTAGGTTATCGTATATTTTCAGTTAAAGTGTCAAGGACATATTGTGATTGATTGATCTAATGATATATTTGATAATATTGTGATTGAGTAATCTAATGATATCATTGATAATACATTCTAACAATTAACTTATACAGGATGTTATCTGTATCTGGAATCAGTGTGTATCATTTGTAAAAGACCATTGTAACCAACTGACATTAACATCCTCTCGTTATAAAGTAAAGATGGCACAAACTCCAATACCACACCTAACAGTGGGACAGTCTGTGAGAGAATGGAGGAGGAGATACCTGGCTGCTACAGCGACGCTGACAGAGGCTCAGAAGAAGAGCATGATACCGGCTTATGTATTCAGCAGCTATGTTCTCTTAGCCGAAACTGCGATCAAAGAAGATACCCTAGACAAAGCACTTAGTCTTTTAGAAGAATTGATAGATGGGACAGTGGGAAGAGTATCAAGTGTGAATGAGTTTTGGGACCTGAAGCCGGCATCAAGATCATATACAGACATAGTCAGTTATTTCTTCTTACTGCAAAGCGAAGCAGATATAGCCAAAATAACACCTGACATGCTACTGCTGAAGTACTTGAAAGTCATACCAGATGGAGAGCAAATCTATGATGACAACGCTGACAAATTCAAACCGGACATGGACGCAGCAGCAGTGGTGGAAATTTTTAAGATTGCGAAAGATAAATTGACTACCCTAAAGAAAAGCACAAGTACACCTCAAGTCATCAAGAAAGAGAAAGAAGATTTTGATGTATTTGTTGCAGATGAAATGCCAAGATGGGCAGAAGAACTGAGAGAGGGTTTGCACAATGTTCAAGGGATGCTGGGAATGTTTCAAGAAGAGGACGACCAAAACAATGATGGTGAGGACGAACAGATTGTTATGTACAACAAACCCAACTCACAAGCTGATGGATATAATGGCAAAGACAGAAAATGCTGGATATGCCTAGAAAACGGTCACTATGCCAACCGATGCAGCAAAAGAAAATGTGTTCGTTGTGGCAAAGAAGGACATCATGAGAAAAAATGCTATGTAAAATTGACCGAAAACAATAGCTCCAATAGCTCTAGCTCCAGCTCCAGAGGATATAATAGCAATTTATGACTATATGGCATCATCTCAGTGAACAATGTTGAGAAGGACGTGGACATACTATTTGACAGCGGAGCAGGGATATCAGTGATGAGTAAGGAACTGTTTCCTGAATTAGTATCAACCAAGTCCCATAAGGTTTATGGGATTGGAGGTGTTGAATATGCTGGAGAACCAGTTGAATGCAGGATTCTTATCAGTTCAACTTGGGAGACAAAGCATCTGGTCAAACCTCTGCCAATTCCCGACAGGGAGAATTTGTTGATTTTGGGCAGAGACTTTTTGCAACATTTTGGAACCACTGAATTTGACTGGACAAATCAGAGAGTGAGAATTGGAGAAGACTGGGTTTTCATGGTCTCCGAAGATCATACCAAAGATATCACCAGTATCATCAACAGATGTAAGATTGGTCAAGACCTGGCTGAAAATCAGAAAGAAAGCATCAAATTGTTGTTAGAAGATTTTTGCCAAGTTTTTGTCAAAAACAGCAAAGCTCCAAAGTTGTGCACCACTGAACTTCATCGTATCTTTAGTAGAGACGACCGTGTTAGTAAAGACAAGGTACGTAGAATTCCTGACAAATGGAAAAATGAAGTTAATCAACAAGTGATTGAGATGTTAAATAACGGAATTATCCGCCCTTCTAAATCTCCATACAATAGTAACCCTCTTCTCGTCACTAAACAGGACAATACTAAACGATTTGTCATAGATTTCCGTAATTTGAATAAGAATACGATCCAAGATTCTTATCCACTGCCTGACGTGAATGATATGATTGATGCTTGTTTGAACTGTAACTACTTTACCCAACTAGACCTCGCTTCAGGTTACTGGTGTTTGGAGGTACATGAAGATGATAAAAAGAAAACTTCATTCAGCGTGCCTAATGGTAAATATGAATTCAATCGTATGCCTTTTGGACTTAAAAATAGCCAAGCAACTTTCCAAAGGAATATGGATAAAATGATCAATGATCTTAAAGAGAGAGATATTGATGGAGTTGGAGCATTTAGTGATAATGTTTTCATATTTTCAGAAACATTCGAAGAACACCTCTATGCACTGACTGCAGTGTTAGAAGAGGTAGAGAGGTACAACCTGTCATTGAAACCCGAGAAGTGTGAATTTGGATTCAAAGAAATAGACTTCCTAGGATTTCATATCAGACACAATGAAGTGTTACCCAGAAAAGACAATGTTCAAAAGTTGATTGACTTCCCGATCCCTCAAACTAAAAAGCAGGTTCAAAGACTTTTAGGTATTGGTAACTTCAACAGACGTTTTGTCCCCAAATATGCAGAGATAACCAAACCTTTAACCATGATTCTATCAGATAAAGAGAAGTTTGTCTGGGGTAATAAGCAGCAACAAGCTCTAGATCAATTGATAGACAGTCTCACCAAAGCACCAGCACTAGGGTTACCAGATTTCTCAAAATGTTTCTACATTCAATCAGATGCATCAGAAATCTCAGTGGGAGGAGTCTTGTTTCAGAAAGATGATAAAGGCCGGAATATCACGCTAGGATATCATTCCAAAACCCTACAGAAATGTCAGAGAAACTGGAAGGTAACAGAATTGGAGCTATTTGCTATCAAAGAGTGCTCAAGAAAGTGGGATGTGTATTGCTCAGGCAAAGTAATATTTATTACTGACCACGAGCCGTTGAAATTCATCCGTAATCACCAAGACAACAGAGGAAAGATTGTTAGATGGTTGTTAGAGCTTGAATCAATTGATTACACTATTGAGTACATCAAAGGAGAAGATAACGAGATTGCTGATGCCCTAAGTAGAGTAGAAATCAGAGAAAATCCTGTAAGCACAGAAGCGGATGGAGACGAGTATATCTATCATACTGATGATAAAACTGACTCAAAATACTGTGATATTGAAAAGATTAAAAAGTTTCAAAAGGAGGATAAAGCACTGCGATTTGTAGTGAAAAAGCTTGAAGAACAAAAGAAAATAAATAAAGGTCCGTTCAGGAACATCAGGTTTCTTCACATTGAAGATGATGTACTGAAAAGAGGAGAAAGAATTGTCATACCAGAAAAGCTACAAAGAGAAGTTGTAGATGAACTGCATGGACAATATCACTCAGGAGCAGAAAACACAGTGATTATGGTGAAGTCAAGATTTTGGTGGAGACGGATGACTAGCCAAATCGAAAACTGGGTACGTGACTGCCAATCCTGTGCTGCCTGTAAAAGACAAAAAACTCCTAAAGCGGAACTAATAATTACACCTGCAGTTCCAAATCCAAGAGAATCGATCAGCATAGACGTGGCAAGTATGCCAATATCCCCACGAGGAAAGTGCTGTTTCCTTTTAATTGTAGACTTAGCTACAAGATTCATCTCAGTAGCAGCACTCAGTAATCAGAAAGCTGAAACTCTGAAACAGGCATTGTGGGACAAGTGGCTGTCTATATTTAGCATCCCAATAAAGCTGAGATCAGATCAAGGAGCAAACGTCAACGGCAATGTGATCAATAATTTATGCGATTACTTGGGAATTGCCAAAGAGAAATCTTCCCCATATCACCCAGAGGGAAATGGTCTAGCTGAAAGATCAATCGGATCTGTTAAATCCTTAGTTAGTGTAATATGCGAAAGCAGGAA